TCTCTCTCTCTCTCTCTCTCTCTCTCTCTCTCTCTCTCTCTCTCTCTGATTTTGTATAATTGTTTTAATATAGCACAATATTACAGCAATGTAATATTATATTGTTACGTAGTTTGTGTAGTATATTTAGTATAGTATAATATTAGATAATTATGTTACGTAGACTGACGTAGAGGGTTATGAGAATACATTTGGTTTTTGTATAATACTGTTTACGCATGACTTGAATTGATATGTACCTTATTATTTAATTTTTGCGTTTGAGAGGATTTATCCCAAAAAGTGAAGATATAAATAGCGCTCTCTCTCTCTCTCTCTCTCTCTCTCTCTGATTGTCCTCGATAAAAAAGCATATTTCGTAGGTTATCGATGAAATTTTTGATATGCATTAAAATAGAAATTGCGCTCCGCTCATCGTTGTTATGATCGTCGAGCCGTGTGAATCTTGCAGCCGGCTATTATATACGTTAACCATAATAGATTATGAACTGAAATCGTTGAGGTCACGTCGCGGTTTCAGTAGCGTAATGAATTCTGACTGCATTGATGACTGGCGCTTATGGATGCATGCGGTTACGCATGCACGCATAAATATACGTGTATTACGCGTAGAATTACTTCGTTTTTCGTGAAGCGGTTTTCTCGTTGATTTAACAGAAATATGATGATTGAAAAACTTAATCTTTCACGATCAAATGACATTTTTCCAATTTCCCATTCATATAGATCTTGGTAAGATGCTGTTTTACTGCCATTAGGTCGATACCGGTGAACGCGAAGAAACGAGAAGAGGTACCAAGGGTGACGAGGGGCAGTTTCGTGGTGGAGGTCTTCCCTTGGTGCCTATTCGTATGCAACCAGAATAGCACCGGGCGTGTAGGATCGATGCGTGCAATATGTATCGGATTCTCGCCCCGTGTTTTCCCGCTCTTCCTGCATTTTTATACTTCGCATAAGTATCACGAGAGAAAAATAAAGTTTCGCCGAGAGGAAAATAAAAATCTTCGATAATTTCCTCGACGAGTCGTTTCACCCGAGCGGTTTCCGAGGGAATTTAGCCTGCGAGCGTGTCGAGAAACGGCCGATAACGCAGTCGGTCGCGATATCAGTACGATATATCCGCGGCGGTAAACTCGGCAGAATCTAGTCTCGAGTTTACGCGCGGTTTTTATTTCATCGCGATGAAATACGCGAGTAGTGATAAAAAACCGCTCTCCGCTCGCTACCGTCGACGAAGTATTTTACTTACCTATTAACGAGCGAGAAAAATAGAATCCTTGGTGCCAAATGGTCGATCGATGAAAACGAAAGAGTAGAAAAATATAAAATATCGTGCGAGAAAATTCATGTGTCGCAAAATTGCATGCAATTTTTAACTGATTAATTGTTGACCGCCGATCATGTGTATGAGACGGACATGGCACCGATGACACATTTACCGACGATCTAGCATGACTTAAAAAATTCACTGCGCGCTAAAATGTCCTCTCAGCAATATCGCGGTCAGAGTTCAGAGGAAGAAATAGTATTTCAAAATAAAAGATGACAACGCGACAAAAATATTACTGAAGAAGACCAATTTTGGATAATTAAATTTTACTTTAACTGGGTTAACTTTACTTCACCAAATTATTGTTTTATTATCGATAATGTTTGTCTACGATAAAAGCTGTGTAAATTGAATAAATATAATTGAATAATATACTGTAAAGCAAAAAGCAAAGAAATTAGTTAATGTAGAATGTAGGGGAGACCAGAGACAAAAGTAACGTGGGATGAATGTAACAAACGCGATTATTAAAAACCAGTCATCAGTCAATCATTCCCGTACGAATCTGTCCGCTGCTATATAACGTCTTTTTAATGCCTTTTCATCTCAGTAGCGCTCGAAACTCAGTGATGAAAGGTTGTGCGTTTATTGCGTCCATAAAAACAGGGTCAAAGTAAGTCCATACTCTTATTTTATTAGTTTCTTACTTTTTTTAGTTTATATTAATATCGATCTCAAAATCTCAAAAATGTACGACGTTTAAAATTTTTTACTATTTTCAGGTATGAGTAATTAACTAACTTTAATTTAGAAATATTTTATATTATAAAGGAGAAATTCCTTGCTATGTTAAAAATTTTCGTTAATTTTACATTTATATAATTTATGTTTAAAATATGTAATTTGAAATGTTCAGAAGTATTGTATTATAATTATTTGAAAAAAGTGTCTTTGTCTTAAAGCAATTATCAAGTTGAAATACAACGTTTTGTTACATTGACTATGTTTGTTTTTATTTTATTTTACCATGTTTCGATCAACTTTGAGCCCTGTTATTTATAACCGACCCTAGGGGTGCAATCGTAACAAATTTCATAAAAAATTTGATTTTTTTTACTTAATTATAACATGTGGTTAGATTTTACCCATCCTATAATGCATGTAAGCAAAGAATATGTTTGCCTTACAAAAAAGAAAAAGTTGATGTGCAAATAAGCAAATGGAAAATATCGAGTATAAGCAATATTTTACGTTTGTCCCTATAGTCTCCTCTATTTTAGATCATTATAATTATGTTGTAGAGAAAGATCTAATATTAAAAAAATACACAATATTTTCCTATTCCTGTTTTATTTTTCATAGTTTTTGTCGGAGCTGTGTTCAAGATCCAGGGTTGGGTGTTTACGCGTAAAATATAATAATTTACATCTACATGTATACAACGTAAACTACGTTTAACGTGTCGTGTAAACAATGAGTAATTCATGGATCATCGAACATTTATATTTCCAGAAATATCGGAAATTTATATTTTTTTGTTTGCAATTTTACTTTCAGTTACTATTATTTAGTTTGACACAATTTTTAGCATGCGTCGAAAAATTAACAGATCAAAAATCACGTAAATATTCTATAGTATATTTTTATATGTTGTACTGCAGAGTTGATTAAGAAATAAATCATAACTAAAATGCAAAACTATTTTTATTTTTTTTAGAATTGTTTGTGAAAATATAGTTCAAAAAACTTAATTAATCAATCACTAATTTATAAATAACTTACATTTTGCTTATATTGTTTACCACGAGAAAGGTTTGCGTAAACATGAACGTCGTAAACAATAATCTATGCAGATGTAAATAATCTATGTAGATGTAATCTTGAAATTTACATAGCTCCGACCAAGGGTACAACGCTGGTCGCAGTTGTATAAAAAAAATCCATACATTTTTAATGACGAAACAGTGACTGGGTAAATTAAAACACTTTATATATTGCTCACTTACTTTCGATGCAGGCCACATGGTCAAGAGTGATGTCAGTATTCTCTAATTATATCTCCAAGCCTCTCATTAATTAATACAGTCAGAAAAAATTACCCAGCGTTGATGTTCACTCGATCCTCGATCCGCCATGATAACGATATATGTATAACTTTTATATGCCTGAAAGCGGGTCTCCAAATTAAAGAGCGCTGATTTGACGCTCGCAGATTACGCGGGGATTGTACTCATCGTAGGTAATGTAGGATGTGAGAAAAGGATATAGAAGAGCTCCTCCCGGTTGATATCGCGTCGCTCAGAAGCTAAAACGTGTGCATGTACCTTGCGAGGACTTCTCGCGTTTTCATCGTAGTTCCGATAAACGCGACAATGCACGTGCCCACGTGCCACGTGCCACGTGGTCGTCGTGGTCGTCGTGCTCGTGGTCGTCATAGTGATCTTGCCCGGATATTGGCCCTTGCTCTCGCCGGGAGAATTGATCCGCGCACTTTCCTAGTTTCCTGGGTCCAACGCACCCACGAATTGATCAGTTTCCAACACCGCGGACATACACACACAATACGTACATATACACATACACATTTTCGAGTTTGAAGAGTAATTGGGTCGCATCAGTTCCTGTACTGTCCTGTACCTCACGAAGGTTCGGGGCAGTGCCACGTCACGCTCTACAGGGAAGTGGAGCCATAAAAACCCCAAGAAGAAGAAGAAGAGGAAGAAGGGTGATATTTGGCTTGTGCGGTATTAGCATTTATTCTGTCGGTGATTGCCGAAAAGAACGGATAAGTCATCATGTCGGACCCTGACATTATTATACCAACTGTGATAATGAAAGTTGGTAGTTGGCTTACGCAGGCGACTGTCGTGTTAGTCGTCTTGGCTCTGATATACGAGTATTTGTTCAAGAGAAAAATAAAAGACGTCAGGAACAAACATGTTGTCGTGAGTGTCGTCCAAAGTTTGAGGGAAAAAAAAAAAAACAAAAACATTAAATATAATGACGTAAATTACAAGACGATGTGATAAGAGCCGTCCCGATGATCATATCTTTTAACTTACTTTGTAATATAAATGTAAATATTGTTTTGTAGGTGACTGGCGGCTCCAGCGGCATTGGGAAATGTATGGCGATTATCGCCGCAAGGAAGGGAGCAAATGTGACGATAATCGCGAGGAATGAGCAGAATTTGGAGAGAGCCAAGGAGGAAATATTGCAAGCATGCGAGAACAGAAATACACAAAGGGTGAAGTGTTTATCTTTAAATATTGGTATGGATTATTCGACTGTTGAGAAAGCGCTGACCGATCTAGAGAAAGTTATGGGACCAATTTACATGCTTGTAAATTGCGCTGGTCTCGCAATCGCTGGCAAGATAGAAGACACCACTCCAGAGAATCTCGATGAGATGGTACGCACAAATTTTCTAGGTACATATTACTGCATTAAGGCAGTGACGCCAAGAATGAAAGCTTCTAAGGAAGGAGTGATTGTACTTATGTCGTCTCAAGCTGGTCTCCTAGGTATTTGCGTAATAAATTTATTTGTACCACTGACACATTAATTATGACTTGGTCTTTATATAAAAAGAGAATGCATTGCAGGTATCTTCGGATACACCGCTTATAGTGCTACAAAATTTGCACTCCGTGGCTTGGCGGAGAGCTTGGAAATGGAACTTCGACCATACCGTATCTCTGTTACTCTGTCTTTACCGCCGGACACAGATACACCTGGTTTTGCGGTCGAAGAGTTGTCAAAGCCGATGGAGACAAAAGTCATATCGCAGACGGTGAAGCTGGTCCAGCCCGAGGTCGTTGCTGAGAAAACTTTCAAGGACGCGTTGGTAAGTGCATGAAAACTAATAAATTTAAAATTGTTTCTCTTTGACTTTCTGTGTTAAACGATAACGTGCTTCAGGCAAGACGTTTCTTCTCTACCGTTGGTTGGGAAGGTTTCATAATGGTGACATTGTGCGCGGGAATGTCGCAAGTCACCTCATTGTGCGAGTTGATCGCGCAAGTTTGGCTAATGGGAGTGTTGAGGCTCATCGGCTTGTTCTACCGCGTCCTCTTCGAGAGAGCCATCGAAAAATGTAACAACTGAACGAATTCCGAGGCCCCGGAAAAAGTCAAGTGAGAAACAGTTTTCTTACAATATTCTGTGGTCCACGACTAAAAGATTAACTAAGATATTTCATTCTAAGTTAAGGCATTCACTTAATATGCATATTTTTGGTAAATTTTCTCGCTCTATACGTTCGTGCTTGTATTATCGCAAGACAATTTATTTGCATCTACATGAATCTCGTTTTGATTTTTTTTTTTAAGCGAAACCTATTATTTCATAATAAATGCCAAGTACATTAATATATAATGATGCATATGTGACTGATGTAATGATGTTAGGATATGTACATACGTGTATGCAATACAGTGATAAATATATAATAAGTTGTGTGAAATATAATGACATGTAATGATATGATATGCAATGCAATGATACGTAATGCGGTATACAAAGGAGCGAAAGAAATAAAAGACTGTTCTTAACGGTTTGGCTTAGTTTTATTAGGTATTCCGTAAGTTCATAGTATAATGTTTTTTTTTTCTTTTATTAAGCTTTTATGGTTCTTACACACATAGAACGGGACTGCTCTTCGTCCCGTTTCTCGCCACAATAAGTTAAAAACGGAAAAACGCTGAAACTGGTATGTAAAGAGTACTCCCGAGACGGTGGACGGGGCTCCTCCGTTCTACGTCGATCGCGTTCCCGCGCGTCTGTCCCGCCGCTGGCGAAAGATCCGAGCTCGTGCTCTCGACGCGGACAACGAGTAAATTTCTTTTCACGTTCGTCTAAAGTCCAGTAAGTAGTATATATCGCGCAGCCGCGATCGGGCGCCGAAAGGACGTGTCGCGCGTCCAGCTTCCGAAAAACGAGACTAAACTTATGCGTAGAAACGGCGGTCAACGAAGATTTGTCTCCCGAAACTGCGAGTCCGGTAATGATGGGTTTAACATTGATTTATTATCTCGCTCTTTCGCTCGCTTTCTCTCCCTCTCTCTCACTCACACCCTCTCGCTCTTTCGCTCGTGCACTTCACGCGCATATACTTTAAACTCTCGCTCCGCTTATCCTCATCCCCACATTCGCTCTAACATCCTTCGCTTTCCTCGGCATCATCTCGTAGATTCGTTAAAAGTCCATTCTCCTCTCGTTTAAAGCGCTCAAGGTGTACAGACGCGAATCCATGAGACGAGGCTTGCCTCGAGGAATATTTCCAGAGTGTTTTGCTGTTTATTTTTCTTTTAACCTACGCTTACTTTTTTCTCTTTTTTTTTTTTTAATCGATCGTCCGCTTATCCGCGCGCTCGACAAATTTCGCCTTCCTTCTCTTGCGGTTTCCCGACTAGTCTTCCCGATAGTCCGCCCTTCACGGCGACGGGCAGCCGTAAATCACCTTCGTCGAACGTTCGAATCGGCAGACGTGTTAGTGATTAATTAGACCCCTTACTATAGTGTGATCTGTCGCGTGCCGTCAACGAAACGTGCCCGTAACGTAGGATCTCGCTTTTGAAACATTAATAGGACGTTGTCGAACTCACTCAATCGCTCTCTCGCAAATGGACTCATCGAGGCTACTGATTTACCGATGTCGATCGCACGCGCGTTTTCGTGTCCGACAATGCGATATAAATAAGTTACCCGGTTTTGCGTATCGCTAAGGGGGATCGAACGTAAATGATCTCGTTTACTCGATAATATAATTCGCGATAATTCGTCGAGCCACTCGAGTCGTACGTTCGGGAGCGTATCAATGCTCGCGTGCAACAGTCGCGTGATTGCACGGTGCATTTCTTTCTCGCGAATGTCATCAGTGATCCGCGCGGTTAACGAGGTACCTGCCGTCCCGAGGGCGCCGATCGACGACAAATGGGTTTCTCCGATTCGCACTTCTAACCCTCCACAGCCGGACGGGGGGAAAAAATGCCCGCACGGGCGAGAAAGCGAACCATTTGTTTCCGTTCGCAGTCTCGAACTCGTGCGTGCGTATCATCGAAATAGGAACCCAGACAGCGCTGTGTCCAAAATTGGGACGTAAGATGTCTAAAGATTTCTTTAAAACGTTTCGATTTCGAACATGCGTGCTGTCTGGGAAATTTATTATACATTCGCGGGAGGCGGTTCGCCCTCTAATAGGATCCAAAAGCAGTGGAGGGTTAAAATTACAACAGTCCTGTACATCCTCCGCGCGCGGTATTTCGTAATCTTCGACGTTTAGTTTCTCGTCTGAAAAGTTTCACGATAACACTTCGTTTGCCGCTCGTCTCGAAAAATTCTTTTCCGGTGACTTGTTCTCAATCTTTCTCTCCCCCTGTCTCTCTCTCTCTCTCTCTTTCTCGGAGCTGCGTAATCGATTTCCGAGATGTTCTCCCGCCTTCCCAAAGAATTTTTCGGGACCGTTCGATGGCGCGGCAACAGACGGATAGATCACGTCGGAATTGAAATCCCCGCGACTCGATAGAGAGATCTATGTATTTCTGGGTCACCGCGTCTCACTTCGTCTTTCATCTCTCCGGCGACGACGACGACGACGACGGCGGCGTCGTGTCGCTCGTATCTCTCACATATAGCCTACTATCTCGGAAAGAACACATCTAACTTGTGTCATCTACGCGTAAGAGCACATCGACGTACTGTCAGGACGGTCACAAGCATCACTCTCTCGAAACAGAGAAGTGTTCTTCATTATCTTCAAGTCGTTACCCACGACTCTCGGGAATCGGCTGAGCGCGGATCGGATCGCGATCGTTCATTATATTAATCAGGGAGGTTTTTTCGAGACTTCTCCCGGATCGCGATTAGTAATCGTATCATTCTCGCGCTCTACTTCGCGAGCTTGCCTTACGAAACGCGGAGCGGTGGCACGCGAGGGGTTGATTTATTCGAACGTGTGGAAGAACGCGGGGGGAGAAGCGCGTACGATCGCGCTGACGACCCGGGAGTTTTAATGCTGCGACCGAGAAACTTGCGAGAGGGTATTTTCGGGCAAGTTTTACTCGCTCCGTTCCCCCGCGACGTGTTTCGACCAAGAAACAAAGACATTGAATAAGGAGGGTAAGTACGCGTCGGCAACGTCGAACGGAAACGGAAACGCAATACGCGACACTTAAGGGCTACTGGATAGATTTTGGTACAAAAATTTTAATGCTGTTCTACGTTAGAATTAGATCGTAAGACGACGTTTCTCGATTGGGTTTTTTTTTTCGCCGTCCCGCCGTCTCTCCTGCTATCTTCTCTTTAAATTACTTTCCCCTTTCTCGCGGTGAAGCAAAAGGGCAACGGGGACGAGGGCGGTGTTCCTTCTTCCACCTCGCGAGGGGGAGGCCCGCGTTAAAGAAGAGAGAAGAAAGAGGGTGGTGAAGCTTAATCGCGACCGCGGCCTCACACAGACCGTTTCCGGCCTTTGTCGCGTCGGTCGTTGCCTTTAGGAGGCTCCGCGAGGCCTCGCGAGGCGCGGGAAGAAGGAAAGGCGGAAACGATATAAAGAAGATGGCTACGTCCCCGATCGACCTTTTTGTCTTTATCTTAAAATGTGTCATTCGACCAACGTCTTGGTTACACGTCAGTCCAACGAACTTCTCGCGGTATACGCGTGTGTGTGCGCGTGTTGTATATGTTGTGTATCGTCTGTATGTACGTATGCGTGTGTGGCTTATTTTTTTTTCTCTCTCTCTCGCTTTCTCATTCTTTCGACCTTCATTCTCACCGTCTCTTTCTCTCACGCTCTCTCTCTCTCGCTCTCTTGCGCAGAACAGGCTCACACGGTTTAAAGCACCAACCGTACCGCTCGCACTCGCGCGGTCGCGCAAAACATGCACGCACACAGCCGCTCGCGCATTCGTCCCGCCTGGCTATTATATCCGACGATATATTTGCATTTATATCCGTTAGTTCGCTTAATCGCTAGGCGTTAATTAGTGTTACATCTAGTCGCGTGTGTGGCCGGCCCGTGCTATCCACGAGCGCGCTCGTCACGGGGAAACGTGCGCGCGCTCTCCGCTTCTTCCCTCCTCCCCTAAAAAAAAAACTCGGACGCATCCCGGCGCGCCAACGGGAAAAGCGCGCGCGCGCGCGCCGGTACCCTGGCGCGTGTTCTCCGGTCCTCCTCGGTGGTCTTACGCGCCGATCTCCGACGATAAGTCCGCCGCGATCCAGAAGTGACCGCGGCTGAATACGACGGACGCGTTAAGCATCTCTCCTTCGATTGTATCACGGACGACGGCCGTGTCCTCCCCCTCCCCCTCTCCTCCCCAACCCGCCCCCTCGCGATAAATGTTCGTCGAAACGAAAATTCGTCAGACGATATTTCGATTTCTGGGAACATCGTATACGTATGCGCGGCGTCTCCCTTATCGTTAAGAAATGTGCCACATCCTCTTGCCTCCCGATACCGTGCATGATTCCCGAGCCGGTTAGCACGGGCGGCCAGACTCATTTCCAATGCGCGTTTTACGATCCGAAAAATTACACAGTAACGTTATTTAGTTAATTTTTTTTCTTGTTTCTTTAGCGTAACACGTACGGCATATCATTAATTAACGTTACGTTATTTATACGCTATGTTACGTTATTTACAATCACATGAATCGTAGATATTCTAACGAATCGTTCGTCTCCTGCCGCTGTCCTCGTGTTCTATGGTGTATTTTTTTCCTCTCTCTCTCTCTCTCTCTCTCTCTCTCTCTCTCTCTCTCTTTCTCTCTGTTTCTCTCTCTTTTCCCTTCTTCCTATTCGTATCTCTCTTCAAGACATTCCCTCAAGAATTCTCTCAACGAGAACGTACGTTCTCTAGTCGCTTTATATGCGCCTCTCGTTCGTACGAGCTGAAACTTGTTCAATATTCAACACCCATGTGCAACGTATTTGCGCGCGTACACATATACATATATATATTTCTGTTCGTTTGTATATATATATTTATATATATATATATAATATATAATATTATAAAAAACAGTATTCCCACCCCATCCCTCTAGTATTTGCGAGAAGAAAGCAAATTCGCGGGGGGCGCACGGGTGCCCACCGGAAAGCCGTACGTTCATCCGCTAAATTATACAACCGATCATGCTCAGAGGCGGCACGCCGCGGGCCAAAACCGTCAAAAACATGGAAATATGCGTTATCAAAAAGTATTATACGTCGAAAGTACTTTGCCTATGTTGTTACGATGAGACGTTTGACGACTCGTAAGAAAAAGAAATCTATCGAAGGAGGATATCTGAATAGGATTTAGAATACGTGTAAAATTTGGCGTGTGTTACACTACGTATATATACGTACGTTTGTAAATTTTATACAAAACAAATGTCTTTTTTTCCCTTTAACGTCGTCCAACGTGAATAAACAGTCCAAATAGAAATAGTTCGTGACATTTCGGACAACTTTTCAAGGGAGGAATGAAATATGACTTTATCGGCAGTATTTAATCCCTCGAGCAAAACGAGTGTACAAAATTTTTTCTACATTCCTAAAAGGTTCTTCGATTTTCTATAAAAAACCGCGATGTTCCCGAGATCGCGAGACGACGCGTACGGGAGCGGACAGTGGAAGATATTATAAGTTCGGTCTTTACGGCCCGCGTCGCGGTGAGTCAGCCTGTGCATGCGCGGACGTATGGATACATTTTGATCGACGTGTGTATACTCAATGCGTTTCAATTACCAAAATTTTTATCGCGGATCGTCTCGAGACACCTGTCGCCAACAAAGCAGCGGTCAAGTATTTTTAGAGGCAGTGATAATTTCCACATCGCGATATCCTGTTTCATCTTACTCGCGCAATCGATGAGCTTCCCGGATAACAATTGTCTGTAAATTTAATGACGTTCTCCGACTATAGTCGTATCAAATTTGCCTTGGCGCTGAGAATATCAGAATATCGTGACTGAGAGTTTGATATGGGCAAAATGTCGCTTGATATGAATTTTTTTTCCTCGGATCGAATAATACCGCCGTGTGTTATTAATAATAATAATAACATTTTTATTTCTCAATAGGGTCGCTTCGATTCTTTCCCCGTCGTTTCTTTCCCCTTCTCGTCAAGTTTGGTTCTCGTACGATCTTGGAACAGACACGCTGATTGACGAACTGAAGAGAGATTCTAATTGCTTCTGGCGCGTATCGACAAATCGTCTGAGAGACGATGGCCGAGATCACTCGGTCTCAGGACGATCCTAGATCACGCGGTAGACGTCAAGTATAGACACGCTTTGTTTGTAATCGGTCGCTATCGAATATAATTAATTACATCGCCTTTCGAAAAATTCATCGAACAAGTTTCAATTCTATTCGAGCGGCGCGGACGAAGTTTTTCTGCTTTTTCCCCAGTCTCGTGACGGTTCTTTTTCACTCTTGCTCTTTCTCTCTCCTCTTTCTCTCACCATCGTTTCTCGTCTTTCTACATTTCTCGTCACGTTATCGCTTTCTTGTTCCTGTAACGAGTGCTACGAAACCACCCAACGCCCTCGCGATAGGATCTCGCGATCGCGATCGTTTTTCGGGCGCTTTCTTTTTTGAGATTTCGTAACTTATTACCTCGTCGGGCTAAACAGACGGGAAATGCGTGAAACATTTATGCAAATGTGAAATATAAATGTGGAATACGTCTTTAGAAAAGCAAACTCAAAAATATCTGTTACAATAAGAAGTCAACAGTAAGAATGACACGTTATTTTATTTAGATAAAATTTTTAATTTTAAATTTAGATAAAATTTTTAATGGACGTAAAAGTGAATAAATAATCTTAATAAATAAAATTGTCAGTTCATCCCGAATTCGCAACTGAAAGTTTTCAAAACGTTCACGGACCACCCGTTGTTCAAGCTCGACCTAATTTATATTTTCGATAACGTCAAAAATTTCGTAGCTCCTCCAGCACGTATAACTCTCTCGCAGCAATTTAACAAGAATTCATATAATAAAACTAATTCCTAATTTCTAACGGCCGGATCACTGTCTCGATAATCGAGATGAACCTCTAACTCTTACTTCACGCATACGGAGAAAAAACATACTACCTCCAGGATCATTATTCTTCTTCTCCGATCTTTCTCTCTCTCTCTCTTTCTTTCTATCGTATTACCCTCTATCTTCCGAATCCTCTCATCCTCGCCCTTTTTGTCCTTGATCTCTGAAAATCGGTCCGCAACGTCGAGGATCTCTTCTCTCGAGGTAGTCGGGGTCTCGTAGCAGGAGATAATCGATTATACGCGTATACCATCCTTGCGGGGTTGCCTGATTATCGTTCCGTCGCAAAGTAAGATGGATTTTTCGAGTAGAGAACCATAAGGATCAAAAGAAGGAGGACGAACAGACGGCTGCCGTGACTCGAGTACAGTGTCACCACTCCTGCCAGCCACCATAGAGTAGGACAGCCGCCCGGCGCTGAACTGATGCCTCTCTGTATCGCCGCGGGGTGTTCCCCTAGAAAATTATCGGATATATATATTTGTATGTAATAAAATAGCAAGATTATATACGCTGCAACGAAAAAAAAAAAAAACCTATAACCTTATGTTCATTTCGTGTTATTTTCACGATACGAGTTATCAAGTGCTTTTTGTAAAAGTCCGCGTGAAAAAAAGTGCGATCCCGCAAACAGTGAATCACATGTAAACGAAAGTTTATGCTCGGGGAAAGAGAAAAGTTTGAAACTTGTTTTTCCCCCATTTTAATTTTTCCAAACTTTTTCCGCCAAAGTGATAAAATGTTCCACTCACCGTTTAGCACATGCAGCTGCACGCTCGCGCTATCCAAGTTACTCGGGCTGCAAGTATAGTTACCCGAGTCCTCCCGTCTCGCGTTGTGAATCACGAGGCTGCTCACCGTGTCCTGTTCGATCCTCTTCGTCTGAATGTCGATCTTGCCCAGCTGATAATTTAGAACGCGATCGCCCTCGTGGTACCAGAAGACGTAGAACGGGCCCTCGAGGGACTGCTTTATCACGCATCGTATTGCGACTGTACTTCCGGTCTTCACATACATGTCACGGTCCCCCAAGATCTCGATCTTTGGCACTGTAACACGGTCGGACGTTACGGTTTTGTCGCCCGGTCGTTTGAGAACGGATAATCGGCTTAATGTAATCGCCTTCCGCGACCCTCACCGACGATGTTGAGCTTGATGATGTGACTCTTCTTCGGGTCGGTCGAGATTTGGCACTCGTACTCGCCTTCGTCGCGCGCCTGGACGTATTTCACCTGCAGCGTCCACGTGTCCGCCTCCCCGAAAATCGCCTGGAACCTCTCGTCCGGAATAAACATCGTTCTATCCACCGAAAGGATATGCGAGTCTCTTCTTCTGATCCAGGAGACCTTCGGATTAATCAAAATGAATTGTTTTTGTTCGCCTTGAACGCCTTAAATTCTTTTCACGCGTGAGATCTTTTTGTAGTCTCTTATATAGACGGTCGTCGGTTTTGCATTTTATTAATTTGCATAGAGATTCGTCGCTCACTTCCTCTCTATTCTTATCATGAAACGGACAACGTCTTTAACGAATTTTTTTCTCAATATATCCGAGAGACTCATTCCTCGTCATTCACCGTTCATTTTAGTCGCATTAGCTTGATGTCGAAATCACCGGGATTACCGCGGGCCCATCATTCGCAACTAAATGGACATCGAAAGGGACGAAATTGGGGTGCGTAAAAAAGATTTCGTCGAGTATAAGAAACAGGAGTGAGATATACACCGACCAAAAAAAAACCCAGAAAAAATATAAGAAAGGGTACATTCGGTTCGTTCCGATTCCGAACGATCAATCTTCCCGTTCCCCTCGCCGCGCAGTTAATTTATCGTTCATCGACCGGACGGCTCGCGCGCGCCCAACGGAAATCTAGATGGTGCCGCGAACCACGGTCGGTCGTCCGTGCTGCGTCGAAAGAAGGCGAGGTACGAATACATTTAATTCGCCGGCCGATAAGGATCGAGGCGGCGACCGCGGGCCCCTCAAGTACGCGCCGGGATTATACGCGCGGGTCGCGTGTTACTGGATACTTAGTCCTCGACCGCGTGCCAACGGCGACAGGCGTATACCCCGTATGCAGCCGAGGGTACGACGAGAGTACGCCTGCGTACACGTCGGTGAAGTTCCTTAACGAGAGACACACGCGTGCCGACGGTAATTTTATTACACGCCGGACGACGACCGACGTTCCGCGAAACCGCCCCCTTCTCTCGCTGCCCACCGGTTTCAGATTATACCGATTTCACGAACGGGGTAAAACGCGAAATCATTAGCGGGCGTTTTATTAGCGGGGTAAATTGATTCGATGAAAAGGGAACGCCGATCGTTGGCGAACGAGTTAACAGCTCGTGACACGTGGGTGGGTTTATCTGTCGCGGACAGCTATCCGACACGGAGGAAATAGGATGGGTTTCGCGATAAATGGTTGAAATATATTAGTTACGACGTTTTATTGTCCGTGGACCTTTGATAGAAGTAATCGCGGGTTGTCCAAGGTCGGGCGATTTTTCCGGGACGTTAGCGAAAAGAATGATTGATAACGGAAATAACTGCCCACTTCGCTTTGACGTGCCGATTGTAATCCGATAATTTTTTGTACCGTTGTTTACCGTTAATAATTAAATAGGGACAATCGAACGTTTGCGTGTAAATAAGTTTAGCTTGGTCACACGTGGACAACGGAATAGTATTCGGGAGAGATTCGGGAACGACGAGACAGTAAGTCTCACCGGACTCACGCCCGGCTTATGACAATTTCTCTCTGTTTTTTTAGCGTTATGGTCCCATTGTCATAACACTGTCAGGCAAAAGTTTGGCCATTACGCGTTATCCGACAAATAAGCTTGTTAATAAATCAAGTTGTCAAATACACGTAACGCGTAAAGGCAAACATGCTTCTATCAAAGATGCGGGAGACGATATGACAAGGACAAATTAGGTCTCAAATCGACGTGCGATGACAGTTATATTGATATATGTATGAAATTACGATACCCTTATACGTAAGACTCGAGGATGAATGATAATAGAAAACATGTAGGGTATAAAAATTGCTGTGAGCGTTTCTCCTACCGTAAAGGATTAATTTTTTTTGCTTATATTCGCTCGTTCTCCGAGAGGAAAACTTCTTTCTCTTCTTGACGCTCACAGTCTTTTTTATACCGGAGTGTTCAATTGCATGGATAGATAACTTACTGATTTGTTACCAAGCTGCCGCACTTTGCACGGTAGGTAAGCATGAGTGCCCAACTGCGCCGTGATATTCGTTGGAGTGTTCGAGTCGAAGTAAGGCCCCGTGTAAATCCCGTCGAATCTCTTCACCAGCGAATGAGATCTCGTACTTACCCCTGAAAGAACGTGCGTTCAGAAAAGTGTCTCGCGTGTATAAAGCGGTGCAGGTTCCGTGAGATCCCGTGATCGGAGACGAAAGAGGAAAACGGCGCAATGCGGAGAATACGGAGACAGGGGATGCATATTTTTTTGCTACATCGCGAATGCGTGAAATGCGCGAATTATCGCCGCGGCGATGCGTTCTTAAGACGTCCGTGTAACACGCTTATACCGGTCGCCGCATCGCCGCCGGCACGTTATGCGGCGAATTAACATGGAGGTAGCGACGTTGGCCGTCGCAATGGAATAATAAGGCGAGCCAGCCAGGGCGACCTCGAGAAGGGACTTACCTATTTCGCATTCGTATTCCGTATCCGCCCGGTCGCGCGCGCGACGCTATTCGGAATAAATCCTATCGCGGAGGAGGAGACCCCGCTGAGGAGCTGTGCCCGGGGGAAATGGATACTAATCCCGGGGATTCCGATCCGGGAAATCTAAAGGCAGATCAGCATTCAACGGGAAAGAGGGAGAAAGATAGAGAGCAACGTGGGTGTTATTCTAACGACCTTGACGATATCATCCGATCTCGTTTTCGATCGGTAGCGCACGAAATCCCCCACGGTTGCTCGTCCGGATTTGCGCGGCCGTTGCGATGACCATAATTTGAGAAATGGTCGTCGGACCGCACACCGGGGCTAAGTGTGAAAAATGAAATCCTCAATTAGGACGAGGGAATATTTTATGTGTAGAGGAGTTAGGCTGACGCGGTAAGCATTTAAGATGCTAAATTAATAAATTGCTTCTATAAAGGTCCGCGATGTCTTCTCCGCTACAACTCATTGTTAGAGTATATTTTCTAGCAGTTACCTTATCTCGCTTTCGTCTTTTACTTCGATCTGTTAATTAAATGTGGCTGATTACTTTACTAATTAGCGGAGTTGTGTTAATAGCTGACGCCGTTAGTTCCTCGAGAGCGCCCGAGTTACGTAAGAAGTGAGCATATGTCGTCGTGGTATCAAGATTTCCCGAAACTTTGACAAACGACAAAGCTGGCGATAATTACGCTTAATTAAGATCAACAGCACGATAATCGCGCGACGCGATAAGGAGTAAATATGAAATCGCCTGTACACGACGTAAGCCTCGCTCAGCTTATCGCGCATCGATTGTTCTACTTATGCGCAAGAAAATCACAGCCGCTGCAACGGTAATAATTATTGTTTCAGTCAAGCTAAGTGCGGGGTAATGAATCATAAATTAATCTCGACGGCTAATCGATGAGCTAAAGTAAACAATGGTGGTAAGAATTTTCATCGATCTCCCTTCCGTTGGATTTCAAGCGAAAATAAAAACTTCCATTTACTTTTTACGAGCGAAAATCAAACGAGAGATTGCGAATCAAGTTCTAAAATTAAATCTTTTCGTCAGATTTATCGTTTTAGAGGGGGGTAAAGGGTTTATCGCGATGATGTAATACCAAAGAGCGATTGGTGATTTTGATCATCATTCGCGGTTGGCCGCGATAAAATCGCCTTCCTCTATCCCCAGATTCGAAATCACATCGTCCCAGAAACGTCGTAACTCTGTGATTCCCCGCAGCCGACAAATCCATCCGGCCGACACGTTTCCGCGCGAACCGAGAAGAGCTAGATTGGCAATCAGCGCGCGCGGCTACGAGTGGTGTATTGTCAAATGTGCCGGAGATACGAATTCGTGTCTGGGGGCTGCGCTCTACCGGTCCTCCACCCGCACAGTCGATTCTCTTGATCTTGAGGGACGGCAAAATCTGCGCAGCTGCGCGCACGCGCCCCTGTCGGTCGCCGTGAGGTTGTGCGGGTTGTGCCCCTCGCCATCGAGTCGGGATCATTTGCCTACCGCGAGAAAAGGGGGCACAAATAGGCCGCTCGGTAGATGCCATGCCTACGCCGCCCCAAACCTATTTTTCATGTCGACGTGCGGCGAGTTGCGCAAAGGTCGCGCGCGATCGTGTTCCTCAGGGGTGCGTAATACAGTCGCATTTATCTCGAGATTAAATCAGGGCAAAGGAGCGCTCGGGCGCAAAGGGGAGAATGACGCCGTTTTATCGCGGCGAGATGTATGCACGTCAACGTGAAGCATGTAATTTCGCAATGTAACGCACCAAGGCAGGCTCATTGATGAATAACCGTAAGAGTTTATGTTTATCGCGCGGGGACGTCGGACACACAAATACGACGACGAGCGGGGGACGAGTGGCGGCTGCATTATTCATGCCGACGTTTTGTAAGTCGGTTTGCGCCGTCCCCGTAGCTCCCGAGGGGTACGCGGAAATCACGTTCGTCCCGGAGATTTCGATATAAGCTACAAAGCTGGCCGACGACGCGATATTCTCACGTTGTGTATTATTTAAAGGGAGCGTTGAAGAGGAAATAGACCGTTCGCCATTCCGAGGGCATAAATCGTTACAAGCGGGACGAAGCGGAATCGCTTCGATCATCGTTTCCATCGAAGCACTCTGAATAAGAAGAATGTTGGAGTAAAAAAGAAATATGGGAGAGAGCGGCGTCTTCGAAGAGAGATTCTTCTGCCAAGGTATGAAAACTATTATAAAAATCCGAGGAAGTATTGCTTTATAAATCTATTCCGCTTCACGCAGCAATAAGTTACGATAAAGTGTCTCCCCGCTAACGTAATCGAGCGTGATGGGACGTGATCGCGGGCGCGGCGGAGGGAGTAGGAAGAAGTAAATTTCTCGGAAACAGAAGGCGGATCTAAAATCGTATATTTCCCGAGAGACAATGCCGCCCGATGTGCTCGGAGGAGACTCGGCGGAGCTGCTGCGTCCGGCAGGGCTGCTGTTTCCTTTCCCACTTTGTCAGAACAACACGTACGCATGCCCGTGCAGTTTTACGACGTCATCGTGTGCTAAACTGCCACATAAATCCCAGTTTTTCAGCATCTGAAGGATTATTTCCCGCCGGCGTGATATGATTTTATAATAATCCTCACACGACGGGCTTACGTCGAAATAGACTCACTCGCTCCGATTCTTTTTCCCTACGACAAGATCCATTTAAAGTCATGAAAAGACATGAAATATTTACAGTAATCTTTTTCTGTCCGCCCTTAATTTATCGCAGTGAAATATCGATAAAGTGTTTTTAAAAATTGAATGGAACACGTCAGCTCGTCTTTAAGAGACTTTTTCTTTTTAAGAGACGCAATTTCCTGAACGCTTCCACGCACGGCGACGTCTGCGAGGCCCGTTGAAGTCGCGCCACGTTCCGCAAATTCATTTTATGCGCTCAGAAATCTCCATAAGCGTCACGAGCGTGATTTCGCGTAAGGAGTCGCGCGTAGCGTCTCGAGACTCTCGAGTCAGTAGTTACGCCCCGAGTTGCGCCAGCCGCTTTGATATAGTCGCGTCGAACTTCTCCGGGGAGGAACGAACGGATCGGGCCGCGGTTAATCACCGCGGCGAAGTATAATCAGTGGTTAGGTTGTGCAGCAGCTTCCCCCCTCCTCCCTCACGCCTCACGCGTGTCTGCGAGTACTATACGGATCGAAAGTGCATAATGTATTGGCGAGAGTGATGTCGGGATAAACCCGCCATTACCGGGGTCTGAAACTGCGAACTTCTCGTAGTGGCTCTCGTAGTCGAGAGAGAGCAGTTAGCGTACTTTCCAAGTGATTTACCGCTAGCGGGAGAGAAACTATACGCGCGCGGAGGAGGCGAGCGAAACTACACCGATCTTTAGGCAAGATCCCAAGTTAAGTGATTATTCGACGAACGGCCGCGCCAACTGATTGCATCGACCGACAGTCGCAGTCGGCGGTGCTTTCCGCGCGGCTACGAACGCGAACGAGTTCGATCGGTGATAATCCGATTTTATCGGCGCTTCGGATTTTCCGCTCGCGCATCGCTGCCTCCGGAATTGATCACGCCACGCCGAAGAGACGGGCTCGCGAGCGGGATCGTTCTTTATGCGACCCGAAACGCGTCAGATATTTCTTTGCGAGTTGATCGCGTCACCGCGGTTAATCGCTGATACGCTTAGCGGAATCGTATATTCGAGTCGTCTATTCAATCGAGAAACGGGAAATCGCTTTCAGAAGGTAATCCTACAGTTGGCCTCTCGTTTCTTTCCATCTCGGGACGAAAGCTCTCGTGCTCCGCTGGAAAGAAGAGCTTATCTCTTCATGGTTCATAATAGACTGAATTCTACAATCAGAAGCGAGTTACATTCGACGAGGAACGGTTTCTTTTTTCTAGGAATTGATGTTTCTTGCGAGCTATTCAAGAAAGTTTTCCCCTTCCGAAAGATTGAATCAAACTCATGTTTAAAGAAGAGATGCAAAAATCGCCCAGTTTCTCCCGACGAGATGTCTCGACGGTAGTCAGGCTATCTCGCAAATAGCACGTACTCGTAGAATGCATGACTGCACCCTCCGGAACGACGCCGTGACGCTCCTGTTTCACGAGCGGGCTTTAAAGCACGACCGCATCGCGGTGATGCAGCCGCGCGAGATGAAATCGATAGACACGTCCCTGAACGACGCCACGGCGGAGAAAAGGGGGACGCGTTCGTCTCCCTTCTCGTCTTCGTCCCGTGATGACGGAATCATCGAGACGACACGCTGCTGATCCCGCAGGGACGCAGGGCGGTGAAGAGAGGCGGACAAAGAGGAGGACGTCGAGAGCGAGGATGTGAAGGCGAGAAAAAGAGGCAGAATGGGGGACAGAGAGAAAAAGAGAGAGAGAGTGAGACAGATAGAGACAGAGCGAGAGAGAGCATGGAGGGAGGCACAATGCTGCGGCGCGACAAACAAGGGTGGCGCTAGATACGGTCCTGGACCGGGACCGGAGGTTGCGTCCCCCCCTCGGCCGTCTCCGTCTTTTTAGTCCTTATCTATTCTCGCGTATCCTCGATCCTCCCCCTCCCGTACGATCTCTACACTCGGTATCCGCCGGTATTCGCGACAGCGGGAGAAACGCGCACGAGTGCGCGGTACGTATACGTTCGTAAGTGCATGCGGGGCGCGAGGGAGACGTATGCAACGTACTGCTACACCCCAAAATCTGATCGATCCATCCGCGGCACGAGTCCGACGGAGCCCCGCCTCCCCCGCACAACCCGTGCGATGATGTCGACGGCTCGATCACCATCCGCCTGTCTATGTGTGTCGCGTGAATGGACAACCGCTATTTACAGCGTCTCCCCCTAACAGCGTCTTTCTCTCGCAGCCCCCCCTGATCTGACATCTCGACGCCGCCATCTGTTTTACGGATCCGCGCCGCAGTTAGAAACGTAAGCTGTATAACAAGCTGGGCGATCTTCCCGAATGAAGCTTACCGGTAATGCCTAGTAGGATCCAGCACACGAGGCACAGGACGTAGTAGTTGACGTAGGAGGACCTCCTCATGGTGATCACGACGACAACAACAACGGCGACGACGACGACGACGGCGTAACTGTCCCCGACGACGGGTCCACTGACATCTCATGGAACACCACGATGCACCTCTTTCTCTCTCGGCGCTCCTCCACTTTAATAATCCTCCGTCGTCGTCCCGTTCATCCTCCAGCAGCAGCCGGTGCTACCAGGACTCGCGCATACTCCCGCGTTACCCGTCGTTGCAACCCTCTCGTTGCAACCCCCCCGTTGCGCTCTTATGCATCCACCGATTTTTTCCTTGTTCTCTCTCTCTCTTTTCTTTTCTCTCCTAACACTGTGACATCACATTATCTCGCAGTCGGAGTACTCGCGAACGCAAGCGGCGCGGCGGAACGAGGCCGAGTTACGGTCTTAATTTGTGGGCGGTCTCGCGCGCGGAGAGTTGACCGTACACCTCCGCGTGCACTCGACCCCAATTGGAAAAGAGGTACCGATTAAATTCTTCTTTATTGCTCCCGAAGAAGACGCCAAGTGTCGCGCGCACCAAGGTCACGAAGCGGTCTGCCTGCGTTCAATCGGGCCAACCCTCCTCCCCCACCTCCCTTTCTTTTCAACCCCCGCGGTTGTGCCTCCTCGTTTGTACGGTTATACTCGGTGTGTGGATCGGTCGGTCGTACTGTGAAACACACGACCGGGTTTCCCGCACTCGGCTCGTCCGCGGTTCGTCGTCCCGGGCGAAGCTCTGAAACCGCCGGGCCTCCGGTGGCACTGCCCGCGCCCGCCCGGGGATTCCGCGCAGGCGTGCTCTCTCTCCTCTACTCCGGCGGCGATCAGTCAGCCTCCTCCTTCCTCGAGGCCTTCTGCCTTTTCCGCCGCGCGCGCCTTCCGTCCCCGCGCTATACGGCCTTGCGCGCTCCGCTCCGCTCCGCTTCGCGTCGCGCCGCGTCGCACCGCGCAGCTCTGTCGTTCCGAATTTTTCTTCCCGCATTCCTCGTCTCCTTTCGCATTTCTCGTCCGACCTTTCTCTCTCTCTCTATCTCTCTCTTTCTCTCTTCTACTGTCGCTTCTGCGTGTCCTATGCGGCGACAAGACTCCGCAATTGCTACTCGTCCCGCAAGCACGGACAAATTTCACGCTTCTTACACGACATCGTCATTTCCCATGCCTCCCCGCCGGGGGTTGAATGGCACGCGACCTCGGACTCGCGTTCTGTCTCCTGCCAGCCGTCCAAAGAAACTTTGAACGGTCGCGTTTTATATTCGTGACCGCGTGTCAGGCGGCGCATCGGAGCGTTTCCCAACCCGTCACGATCATCACACGCTCGTTAATAATCGTTAAAGATCTTCGATGCCACGTAATTGCCTTCGTCGCCTTAATTTCCATGCTTTATTTTCTCCCTTCTGAATTTTCCTTAATATACTTCGAACAATTTCAAATATTAGAGTCGTCTTATTTCACTCTCTCCTGTAACGCGCAGATTTCAATCGCGGCACGACTTCGTCTAAATAAATTCTTCGAGTCCCTTTCGGATTTTCGGTTTCCTTAATTTCTCGCAAGCGTATATACAACATTTAACCCTTACCCGCGCTCGAGTCTCCTTCTCACGTTTATATGCGACTGAAAAGTCTCTCAGGTTGAAACAGCTTTTCCGCAAAGCACGAAAGAGTAATGAGAAAGGGATCTCTTTACTGAACGAGATACAAATTATGTTTGCGCATTCTCGAGGATATAATTACATTTGCAGAAAATTAAATTTTTCAAAAGCATTCTGTACTTATAATTGGATATGTAAGTTAAATAATACGTTGAACAATGTTTCACGAGTATCGTAACTCAGGTATACCTATGCAATATGCAACGTTGAAATTGAGGTAGACCGCCTGGAACGAAATGGCGGAAATGTATTTGGTGCCCCTCTCTCGTCCCACCATGGGGATCCAGCACGCTTCATCGTGGACAAATGTTAAGCCGCTTACGGTATGAATCTTATCCCCGGAGACTGATGTGGCTGTGGGCTCGGTTATTTAATAGGGAAAAAGAAAAAATGCCGCCGTCGCTTTTGTTCGTGCTCTCCTTCAACACAACGGACCGTTCCGTTATCAGTACCGTTCTCTCGCTCTTCGAGACGTTTAGACAATACGACGTGTCCCTGATCTTGTTCTACTTTAATTCAACTGACAAAGTTTAATAGTACTGAAAACTACTCACTGCTATTTTATTCTTTATGTCGCGATTGGCATTACATATTCATGCTGCAACCGATATTTTTTTATACATTTTGTTGACGTTATCAACAAACGATTGTTCTCGTTAACAGACAGATAAATAAATAAATAAATACTCGGTTCGCCGGACACTGCGGATTTTTATTTCGATTCGCGTCCATCGTTTACGACAAAGAGGTTTTCCGCCCGCGACGTTATCTATAGACGAATATCGCTACCAACTTTCATGGCTCGCTGAAATTAACCGCCGTCGTCTTTGGAAGTAAGTTTTCGTATCACGCCGAGTTTACGGGACACCGACGTAATTTGCATGAACGACGTGTATTTGGTAAATTATATAACTTTTCTCCCCGATGATCGACTGATCTCATTCGTGTCCTCGTCCTTACTTCGGGACTTTCTTATCTCCTCGTCTACTTTACTTACGTACATCTAGAAAATTAACGTTATTTCATTTTTCTGTCTTCACCTGGGACAGACGTTGTTTTATCAAAAGAGATAAATGTACGAGAATTATCTCATCGACGTAGGCAAAACAAAATTATTTATGTCAATATAGAAAGAAAAGTACATAATCTTTCTATTGTCATTAAAGCAGCAAGCCGCAGTACGTGAAATAAATGATAGTAGCTTTTTTCGTCGAGGTCAAAATCCCGCCGCGGGCTTACGAAACCCCGGTTGCCGAACGAGGCAGACGAAAGATGATTGGCTGTCCGTTCATCTTTTATGGCCCTTCACTTCATCTTCAGGCAACGCGAAGGGTCGTGTCACCGATGGAAAGTCCTACGCTTTTCACGGCGCATCGACCCTGGCTGGGGTTCAACGTTAATGTCGATCGGCTTCGGGACTGTGCATCTCTCGACCGTTGGGTTATGCCGATAAACCTTACACGCGACAAACCGTCGCAGAATCGACAAAAAGCGCGGCAGCTCATTCTCTCTCTCTCTCTCTCTCTCGCGCGCAAGTCGATTATTCATTTTTTATCGGTACATCCGTTCCTATCCTCTTTTTCTCTATCTTCTCTCGCGCTGACATCCCGGGCTTTTGTGCCGCTTTTGCCGCGCTGAAACTTTCAGACGGCCCGACGCGGCGTGCTAAACTCGTCCCTCTTGCGAGAGAACTAACGGCGTGACGTTATGGGCAAGGCGAGGAGACCCGAGGGAGCCGTTAATAAAACGTCATTTACTCTTAAACGATTTTCCGGCTTTCCCGGCAGCGCTCCCGCCGCGCCGTCGAGTCGTGTAGGAGATAGGCCATGTGCCACGGATTCAAATTCCCGGTACTCGAAAGTTAGCGGGGAGGAAATATCCCAGTTTCGCTGCGTCCCGTAGCTATCTCCCTCCCTGCACTTGTCTGGGCTATATACTTTCGTTCGCACGCCGTATAACACACGGAGCAAGGATTCTTAAGTGTATGTGTGTACGAGGGGGTGAGGGGGAGGGGGTTTCAGTTGTGCAGCGCAGGTACAAGGGGAGAAAAAAGTTTTATAAAATATGTGAGCGTAAGCGTCACACGCAGCGGCAGGTGCATCGGAGTGCATACTGTCGTCCGTTCTATCCGCCCGCGTCGGGGGGGGGGGAGGGAGCGGCGGAGACTCCTAGCCCCCCTCTTTCATTCTCGCGCTGCGACGGTGAGGTTGAATTTCTTTCCGCGCGGGGTTCACCGCCCGACGTAGGGGCGAAGTTTATCTTTTATCGGGATAATCTTCCGTACGAGAGAGGCGCGCGCGCGACTGTCGCGTATTGGCGGACGTGGATTGATAACAGCGTCGATACCGCGGTAGAAACTTTTCTCGTCGCCTCTTTCGTTCCTCTCTTTCTCCGTGCGACCGCGAACGCCGTCTCGCGCGACAAAAACATTATTGACAAGCGGCGTCGCGACGGATGAAAATAAGTACATCGCGAGACTGGAAGTATCGCGTTGCGTTCGGGGCGGCGCGCGCACATCACGCGAGATTTTCTAAATTGCGAGAGGAATCATTATGACGGCCGTTTCGCGGTATAAAACCGGTCATCAGGGAGGGTATTGCCTCGCTGCTATGCACTTAAACGTATTCGGCGCATCGGGGTAAACGAACGCGCGCCGGCTTTAATAATAATGAGAGGGTGTTCTGTAAATAAATATTTCCTCGTATCCTCATTAACGCCGCCACGTGTCCGTCGAATTTTCCCGTCGACGGGGATTTTTATCCGACGCGGGGTCGGATAATTGCGGGCGTTACGAGGCGCACGTGATTCCGGGATAATTGGATAACGCGTGGCGAAACGCAAAACTTTTGATGCACTTTGCAGCGTTTCCGTCCCCGCTCTCGCCCTGTCGACCTCCTTCTACCCCCCCCCTCCCCGCTCCTTTCTTCTTCTTCTATCTATTTGCGCGGAAAGTTAATTTTTAGAAACCGGTAGAATACATAGAAACACGTGAAACACGTAGAATAAATACATTTTTCCCGTTTTAACGACGGTTCGTGCAGGCACGCCATATCGGTGTCGTTTGTCATGCACGAAGCACGAGCAACGACATTATCGCGTTCGCGATTAATACCCCTGACAAATCGAGGCGCAAAAAGGGAAAGAAAGCGGCGGAAGAGCGGAGCGCGGACTCTCGCGGAGAAAGACAGAGGGGCGGAAGAGAGGCAGATGAGGACAGAGCTGTGTGTGTCCTGTCCCCGTTTCACGAGAAATTATCGACGCGCGCGACCCACGCCTTGAAATTACGCTGCGTTTGTAGAACGGGCGGTGCACTATGATGCGCCTCTTCCGCAATTTTACGCCCGAAGCGGGACCAAGTTTGCGCGGAATAAAATTCTATGTATGGGATAGAGCGTACGGCAAAATCGAACGTCCGCTGTACTTTCGCGGAATCCGATGATATAACGCGGGTAAAACTGGAGCTGATGCTCCTCAACGAGCTCCGGGCAAGATGTCGTCGCGTTTGTAACTACTATTCTTCTCTCCGGTGGGCGAGTCATTGTCGCGGCGCTGGCTTTGGAGACAGCGCGGGTACGCTCCATTTGACTTCGGAGCGCTATCCGGTTTTACCCTACTTTCCCCTATTATCCTCAAACACGCCGCATCCATTTTCCGCAATTTTCCCCGAAAACGCGCGTGTCGCCGTGCCGGCTAAATTGTGCCGTATAGTGACGGAAACCGGGTTACTGTTACGCGGACGTTTATTCACGGGGAGAAACAAGTAGCAGGAAGAAGCCCGCCGCGATAAGACGAGGGAAACGTGGAAAGCGAGACCGCGGCGTGGCATAAAGGTTCGAACGGGGAGAGGAAGTCAAAGCGCGACCGGAATCTTTTGGATAGCGCCATTCTAATTGGGGCGGCCGTTAATTAAGATGCGCGCGCTCGCGCTCAGGCGAAGACGGCGTCAGCGTCGTCGTCGTCGTCGTCGTTGTCTTCGTCGTCGCGACACAGCGCGGCGACTCGACGGGACTTTGTTCCGCGAAAATAATGATCTTTCCATTATCCGGCCGCTGCGCTGTCCGTCCTTTCCCAACCATTGTCCTCTTCATCGTCCACGTT